GCTGGGTCAAATGGAATTTCTATTTCTAGGTCCTTGAGGAATTGCCAGACTGTCTTCCACAATGGTTGAACTAATTTACACTCCCAGCAACAGTGTAAAAGTGTTCCTGTTTCTCCACATCCTCTCCAGCATCTGTTGTCTCCAGACTTTTTAATGATCACCATTCTAACTGGTGTGAGATGGTATCTCAGTGTAGTTTTGATTTCAGCAAATCATGTTTTAAAACTTCTAAGAACTATTTCTTCTCCTTGGAGTGATCTTTTCTGTAGCATTTGATTCTTGGTTTATAGTTGTATACCTCTCCCCTAATCTTTGAAATAAAACTAATTAGTGCAGTCAGAATTTTTATGTCTGTCTGTCCTTGAATTTCTATTTCATGGACTGCCTGGTATTTGTGGGGTTCTTCCCACTCTGCCCCCATAACTTTTCAATTCTCTCTTTTTTTATGGAGGTGTTTTTCAAATGTCTGGTAATGTTTTTATATCCACATGTATAAAATGAGGAATGTAAGGTGAGCTGCGCCCATTTCGCAAGGGTTGCCGACTTTGTCTGAATTGTCAAGGTTATGTTATAGGTTAGGAATTCACTTTATGTGGTGGTAAATATTTTTTGGGGAGCTTTTTTGTTTCCTGTAGAGTAGATCCTCTTATCTGACTTTCCCCCAGTGATGCGCATATTGGGCTTCTGAGAATTTTGCAGAATTTCAGTGACTTCTCCAGTTTCTGATATTTGCTGACGGTTTTTTTCTGCCTCCTTTTGGCCTGGAGTTCACACTTCCGGTCCATAGCACACTTTTAGTGTGTTCTCCTTTTATCTCAGAAGGAAAGAATGAGAAACTAGGAGCTCCCTGTCCACCATCTTTGCTTGGAAGATTCCTGGTTTACACTTACAGTGACATGGTTGAATTGGTGAAAATGGATGGATCTTGAAAACGTCATGCTGATGGAAAGAAGTGAGACACAAAAGGCCATATGGTGTTTTATTCCATTGACATGAAATGTGCCAAACAGGCAAATCCACAGAGATAAAAAAGTGAATGGTGGTTGTCAGGAGCTGGGGAAGGGAGAATGGGGAGAGATTCCTGAATGAGTGCAGGGCTTCTCTTTGGGGTAATGACAGAGGTGGTGGGTGTACAACATTGTGATGAATTGTGCTCTTTACAATGGTGAATTTTATGTCATGTGAAGTTTATTGTGATAAATAAAAAGAAAAAATAAAGAAAAGTATTTCATTTTCAAAAGACTATGTGGTGTATGAGTCCATTTGTAGGAAATATCCAAAATAGGAATATAGAGATAGAAAGTGGATTTGTGGTTGCCAGGGCTGGAAAGAGGGAATGGGGAGTGACTGCGTAATGCGTACAGAGCCCCCCTTTTGGAGTCATGAGAATGTCCTTGGATTACCTGAAGGTAGTGGCTGCATGACATTGTGTATGGAGTAAACACCGGTAACCTGTGCACTTTAAAATGGTTCATTTTATGTTATGTTAATTTCCCATTAATATTCTGAGAGTTTGCATGGAAAGGTGAAGCTCTAAGCAGGTTGTATGTTTAGATGTGGGGATACACATTATGCTGCTTAGAAATATGTTCACACTTAGGGCTCAACACTGGGGGTTCAACTTGGTAGTTCTTTCTGCCTCCACATTCTTTCAAGATATGGATCAGAGAACTTTGATGAGGACGGCATAGGGGATTGGATCTCTGGCTCTGTTTTATGCATTATCTGATTTTTGAGGTCTGTGGGTGAAGTTTACACAACACCTTTAACTTGGCCAGCTCTGGCTGTGTACCTACCAGCCCCCAGTGGCTGCTTTCTCTCCCATCTCTCTCCTCTGCTTAGAGACAAAAGAGCCTAACAGATGACTGAACAGGTTCATGACAGCTATGCCTGTTCTTGGGAGGTAATTTTGATCAGAGCTCAGGCCTTTGGAAATGTCTAAAGGAGTAGTAATCACCATTATTATCATTTTAAAGCTAGTAATTAAGAAAACTAGAGATAGATGGTAGATGATGGTGGTAGAAATAATTAGGTAGATGCTAGAAATATTGATAGACATAGATAAGTAAATATATAGAGGGTATAGAGTACACATATATGATAGGTGGATGATAGATATAGATAGGTGGATGGATTATAGAAAGGTGATAGGTAGAAGATGATGGAGATAGATAGATGGATGATAGAAAGAGATAGATCCATAGATAATAGATAAATAGATACAGATGATATATGATAAATCAATGTTAGAGATAGATGGATTAGATAGATAGGTAGATAACAGAGGTACATGATAGTAAGCTAGATAATAAATAGATATGAAGAGAATTGGTAGATGATAGGTAGATGATGGATGGATGGATAGGCATGTGATAGGTAGATGAATACATAGATGATAGGTGAATGGATGGATAGATGATAGATAGATGAATATATGATAGAGATAGGTGGATGGGTGGAAGGCTGCATAGATAGATGATAGACACAGATTATAGTAAGATAGATAATAAATAAGTGTACACAGAATTGGTAGATGATGGGTGGATGGATGGATAGATGGATAGATGATAGATAGATGAATAGATAGATGATAGAGATAGATAGGTGGATGGGTGGAAGGATTGATGATAGAGACAGATAGATTCTATAAGATAATAAATATATGTACAGAGAATTGGTAGATGATGGATAGATGGATAGATAAATGATGGATGGATGGATGACAGATGATGGATAGATAGAGATAGATGATAGATAACAATAGATGTGCAGAGAACTGTTAGATGACAGACGGATGGATGATAGATGACAGGTAGATGGATAAGAAGATTGATAGATGATGGATGGATGGATGGATAGATGATAGATAAATGGATAGATGGGTAGACAGATGGTAGATAGGTAGATGGATAAATAGATGATAGATGGTAGACGGATGGATGGATAGACAGATGATAGATAGATGGATGGATGGATGGATGGGTGGATGATGGATAGCTAGATATAGATTGATGACAGATAGGTATCTTTTGTTCTGCAGAATTCAGTTGTAAAGTTTGCTGTCTGTAATGGGGATGTCGGGAATTCTCTTTCCTTCTTCGTGCAAGGGTGGGGAGGAGTTGTCTACAGGAGCAGCTGTAACAGGCTCATTTTGGAATTCACCCCATCGGAATGTGAAGGTCGAGAAGGCAGCCCTGGGACACTTGTGTTTGTTATATTTAGTGCGAATTGCGGGCTGGCTTTGCTCGGAGTGTTGCTTCCGGGGAAGGCGCCATGGTCGCCTGCATGCTGAGAATTTTAATTTCCATAGACAGTATATTGGGGTAGACACTGTGTGGGACTTGGCATTGCTGGCTGCCCTCCTGACTGCTGTCTTCCTCCTGGCAACAGGGGCTTGAGTGCCCAAGAATCAAGTGGTTCGAAAGTCATTACAGAAGTTCACATCAGTCTTATGCGCAGAGACTTAAAACTGCCATAAATTATATCTGCTGTGAGAGTTCCTTCCTCTCCTACTGAGGCATTAGGAAGCTGAGCACATTCTACCTAACGAATCAATATACTTTCCTTTATGTCACCTCTCCTGCCTCATACATCCCTGAGTTGAAGTCTTTTTAAGAAACGATCTGTCCAGAATTTAAATAACATTTGGCTGTTCTTTACAAAGCATGATTCTTTTCTTTTCTTTCTTTCTTTTTTTAAAATTATCTTATTTTATTTTGAGACAGGCACTCACTCTGTTGCCAAGGCTGGAGTTCAGTGGTGCAATCCTGGCTCATTGCAGCCTTGACCTCTTGTGCCCAAGCGATCCTCCTTTCTCAGCCTCCCAAGTAGCTGGGTCTACAGTGATGCAGCACCTCACCTGGCCTTTTTTTTTTTTTTTTTTTTTTTGAGATGGCGTTTCTGTTTGTTGCCCAGGCTGGAGTGCAATGGCATGATCTCGGCTCCCCACAACCTCCACCTCGTGGGTTCAAGAGATTCTGCTGCCTCAGCCTCCCGAGTAGCTGGGATCATGGGCATGCACCACCACACTTGGCTAATTTTGTATGTTTAGTGGAGATGGGGTTTCTCTATGTTGATCAGGCTGGTCTCAAACTCTTGACTTCAGGTGATTCACCTGCGTTGTCCTCTGAAAGGGCTGGGATTACCGGCTAATTTTTTTTTTGTTTTCAGTAGAGATGAGGTCTTGCTGGGAGACTGGTCTCAACTCCTGGGCCCAAACGATCCTCCTTCCTTGGCCTCCTGTGACACTGGGATTGCAGGCATGAGCCACTGCACTAGCGCAGAGCACAGTTGTTTTGAGTGAGGTGGTTTACATCTTTGCTGTAACTCAGGTAATCAAGCCATTGCTTCCACTTTTTGCCTTTTGTTTTCACCTAAGATCTAAACACTTTGGCTGAGTTTTCAAGAGTGAAACAATATAAAAGAAAGGACTGGAACTCATGTAGATTGTAGCTGTGAGCTTCCCTGGCATTGCAGCATGAGGAAATGGCCATAGCAGTTGGGTTGACTTTGCCTCATGTTTGAGGCTTCTTCACACTCCTGTGTTTTCTTTTGTTTAGAATGAAAGGAAACGTATATGTGAATTAGAGCACTGACTACTCACCACAAGTCGTGATTTTTATTTTGAGACAGGGTCTCAGTCTGTCGCCCAGGCTGGAGTGCAGTGGTGCAATCATGGCCCACTGCAGCCTCGAACTCCCAGGCTCAAGTATCCTCCCACGTCAGCCTCCCAAGTAGCTGTAGCTACAAGCATGCTACCACGTCCAGCTAATTTTTATATGTTTTGTAGAGGTGGAGTTTCACTATGTTGCCCAGGCTGGTCTCTAACTCCTGAGCTCAAGCAATTCACCCGACTTGGCCTCCCACAGTGTGGGATTACGTGTGAGCCGCCGGCCGGGCCCCAGCCATGATGCTCGGGAGAGGAGAGGAGGTGACTATGGGACCATCACCCCTGCCATGCCTCACGAGTGTAACTCTGGTGTTTTTGTTGATTTTCACAGTGACTGATCAGGCTTTTGTCACATTGGCCACCAATGACATCTACTGCCAGGGTGCCCTGGTCCTGGGTCAGTCACTGAGGAGACACAGGTTGACGAGGAAGCTGGTGGTGTTGATCACTCCTCAGGTGTCCAGCCTGCTCAGGTAAGGCTTAGAGATGCGGCCTGTGCCCAGCTCGGTCCTGTGGAAGGAGGGTCACCTCTCCCGCTAGAGGTCCCCGGAGTTATTCTGATGGCTGACCACCTTCTTCACAGGCCTGGCTGGCAGGCAATCACAATGGGCCTCTGACATTTGTAATGAATCTTTGAATCACATGAAAACACGTGTGGGATCAGCTTCACAGTACTTTAAGAAACAATACTGGGTATGGTTACTGTTCGTTCTCAAAACCATGGAAATTGAAAACTCAATTCCTTTTGCATGTTTGTTTTTGAGACAGGGTCTCGTTCTGTTGCCCAGGCTGGAGTGCAGTGGTGCTATCCCAGCTCACTGTGATCTTCCCTCCTCAGCCTTCTAAGTAGCTGGGACCACAAGTATGCGCCCCCATGCCCGGCTGTTTTTCATCTTTATTTTTTGGTATTTTTGGTAGAGAGAGGGTTTCACCACATTGTCCAGGCTGATCTTGAACTCCTGGACTCACTCAATCCATCTGCCTTGGCCTCCCAAAGTGCTGGGATTACAGGCATGAGCCACTGTATCCAGTGTTAAATATTTTTAAAATTAAAAAAATGAAAGTAGGGCCGGGCGTGGTGGCTCACGCCTGTAGTCCTAGCACTTTGGGAGGCCAAGGCAGGTGAACCACTTGAGGTCAGGAGTTTGAGACCAGCCTGACCAACATGGTGAAACCCGTCTCTACTAAAAATAGAAAACATATTAGCTGGGCATGGTGGTGCCTATAATTCCAGCTACTCAGAAGGCTGAGGCAGGAGAATCACTTGAACTGGGAGGTAGAGGTTGCAGTAAGGTGAGATTACACCACTGCACTCCAGCCTGGGCAACAGAGCAAGACTTGGTCAAAAACAAAAACCTGACTATGTTGAGGTTCAAAAATACACCAGCAGATTCCCTGTGTTATTTTCCCAGCTGGGGGAAGGGATAGAAAAATGACGTTATAGCATATAATTGAATTGTTTGTGTCACAAAGGATAAATGCTTGAGGGGATGGATATTGCATTCTCCATCATGTGATTATCGCTTATTGCCTGCCTTTATCGAGGTGGACTTAAGATCTACTCAAGAGGAACTTCAAATAGTCTGAAACAACATGACAGAAATGGTGGGAAGGGTTTAGTGTTGCAGACTGGGTCGAGGTTTTGTACGACCTTTTCCTGTGTATTTCACAGTCGTGGGGAGAATTGAGGGATGGTGCTCTGTAGTGGTCAGGGAGTAGAAGATGGGCCATGAGCAATGACTAGGGCTGTGGGTGGTGGGAGATGGCCCTTCACTCAGGCTGTGTGCTACCAGCATGTTGTGGAGCGATCTCTTTGTAGGGAAACCGTGCCACGAGCCTGCGTTTATAGCTTTGAACTAACCGTACTCATGAAATGTAATTCTGCTTCCAGGAGTTTTTATCATAGGGAAATGAGCAGAGCTGAACAAAAGGATGTAAGGACATAAATGACAGTGCCATATGTAGTGAGGTGGAGTGCTGCTTCTCTTGCCCTCCCCCCGCCCGGATCTTTATGCAACGGTGGTGAAGATGCCATAAATTCCATAAATAACTGGGCCAAAAGCAGAGGAAGATTTGCTGAAAGATGGGTACTTTTTCAGAGAAACAGTTACCTTGAATACTGTGCAGTGAAATCCTACAAATAAATGTAGAGTCCAAGAGAAATGCTAAGATATAAAAGGCTGGAGAACTTCAACATCTGTCAAATAGGAGAGAAAAAGAAAGAAAGAAAGAGAGGGAGGGAGGGAGGGAGGAAGGAAGGAAGGAAGGAAGGAAGGAAGGAAGGAAGGAAGGAAGGAAGGAAGGAAGGAAGGACAGATAAGAAAAATAAAGAGAGACAGAGAAAGAAAGAGAGAGAGAAAGAGAGAAGTAACTACTCTTATATCTCAGCTCTGAGAAAAATGTTTAGATTGAGAGTGTTCCAGATGCTGAGCACAGTGAATGAAGAAAGCTCAAGTTTTACCACAAAGTGGTACAATTTCAGAGCAGAAAAAATGAAGAAAAATCCTAAATGCCTTTCTCTATCAGTTGAGACAATTGATGTCTCAAAATTCTGGTGCAAGATAACTTTGAAATAAAAGTTCTGTATTCAGCTTTAGTACCGTAATTTGAAAGCAAAACAAATACTTTTCAAATATGCAGATGCACAAAAATTGTATCGCTCAAAGACCTTTGAGGAAAAAGTTAGTTGAGTGACTCCAGCAAATGGAATGTGAATCCAAGAAAGGTGAGAGGAGCCAAGTGCAGTGGCTCATGCCTGTAACCACAGCATTTTGGGAGGCTGAGGTGGAGGATCACTTGAGTCCAGGAGTTCAACACCAGCAGGACAACATAGTGAGATCTCATCTCTACTAAAAATTTTGTTAATTGCTGAGTGTCGTGGTGCATGCCTATAGTCCCAGCTACTCAGGAGGCTGAAGAGGGAGGATCACTTGAGCCCAGGAGATTGAAGCTGCAGTGAGCTATGATTGATTACACCACTGCACTCCAGCCTGGGTGACAGAGCAAGACCCTGTCTCAAAATAATAATAATAATAACAGTGCACACAGGAAGCAGTGATGAATAAATAAATGTATAAAACACAGTTAAGTCTGAATGTGTTAATGCATAATTATGAAAATAATCTGGAATTAACATTTCACATGGGAGGCAATTCAAAGAGCAATGAAGAAAGAGAGAATGAGCATATGTTCACGTTTTTGCTTCATCTGGGAAGAAGACATAGATAATGACTATCTTTATATTGGTAGAAAATATCAGCTTAGGCAGTTGAAAGATGGTCACCACCAGAAAACTAGAAAACATTTGTACACCTTTCAGAGCCTTAATGGGAAATGCGTGGATTGAAGAAAACCCGATTCACACAATCAGAGGTGGGAGGAAGAGAATTACACCAAAGAAGTAGAACGTCTGATAAATGTAAAAAAGGGAAAATAACATGAAACAAAATTGCGGGACTCAATCCAAATGTAACAGTGATCATAATAAACATGAATGGATTAAACTTCCTTTAAAAAAGATAGACTTTCTGAATGGAAAAATAAACATAAAACCCAGACATACAGTAGCGCAAGAGGCAGCTTAATTACAAACAAGGAAACAAAAAGTTAAAAATAAATGGATGCATTTGATATGATTCTGTTCCACTATCCAATCTAGGTAACTGTCAATTATTTTATACATTGCTCTTCAGATTTTGTTTTTGTTTTTTTGCTTTTTTTTTTGAGACAGAGTCTTGCTCTATTTCCCAGGCTGGAGTTCAATGGTGTGATCTTGGCTCACCACCAGCTCTGCCTCCCAGGTTCAAGCAATTCTCTTGCCTCAGCATACACCACCATGACTGGCTAATTTTTGCATTTTAGTACAGACGGGGTTTCGCTATGCTGGACAGTCTGATCTCCAACCCTTGACGTCAAGTGATCCGCCCACCTTGGCCTCTGAAGGTGCTGGAATTACAGGCATGAGCCACCGCACGCCAGGCCTTGCATGGATTTAAATATATGAATATGAAAATATTGAACTTAGAGCAATCATTGTGCTTTGTGTTGATTGAAAAATATAACACTGGCTATCAAAGAAGCATGTTCAAAAATATTTAAATCATTTCAAAATGTCCTACGAATTGTGGTGGTTTCTATGCACCCCTAAAGCTTCAGTCATTTAGCTCAGGTACATTACTAAAGTAGTAGGTTGATTCTTCCAGTACGGTGGCATTTCACACCATTGACGTTTGCATTCAAGTATGAGCCATCCATGGAAATGAGCTCTGAACATGGAGATCGCAAGGAGGCCAGTGGGGAAATCTCTCTGTTCCACGTTTGTGAGCAGCAAAGCAGCACCCTCCCAAAGGAAGAGGCAGCTCTGTGCTAAATATTCACCCACTGTCCTCCTAATTGGCACAGACATGTGTTCCATGAACATCCAAGGTGTTCGATGAAATGATTGAAGTGAATCTAATCGATAGTGCAGACTACATCCACCTGGCCTTTCTGAAGAGACCTGAGCTTGGGGTCACCCTCACCAAGCTTCACTGTTGGACTCTCACTCACTACAACAAGTGTGTCTTCCTGGACGCAGACACTCTGGTGAGTGAAGATTCCCTACTTGATAAGAAACCTCCAAGACCTCATCTCTCCATTCTTAAGCAGGCTGTCAACTCTTTTTTTTTTTTTTGAGACGGAGTTCCGCTCTTGTTACCAGGGTGGAGTGCAATGGCGCGATCTCGGCTCACCGCAACCTCCACCTCCTGGGTTCAGGCAATTCTCCTGCCTCAGCCTCCCGAGTACCTGGGATTACAGGCACGTGCCACCACGCCCTGCTAATTTTTTGTATTTTTAGTAGAGACGGGGTTTCACCATGTTGACCAGGATGGTCTCGATCTCTTGACCTTGTGATCCACCCGCCTCGGCCTCCCAAAGTGCTGGGATTACAGGTGTGAGCCACCGAATTGCTCTGTCTCCCAGGCTGGAGAGCAGTGGTGCAATCTCTGCTCACTGCACCTTCCGCCTCCCCAGTTCATGTGATTTTCCTGCCTCAGCCTCCTGAGTGGCTGCGATGACAGGCACCCGCCATCATTCCCTGCTAATTTTTTTAGAGACAGGGTTTCAACATGCTGGCCAAGCTGTCACCTCTCACTGGCAGATGCCTGTGAGGTCATGTGCATTTCTATTTCTAACAGAGTATTCAGTGTATTACAATCAGACATACCCCTGGCACTGTGCTAGACCCTGCTGAAGAGAATGAGGAGTTGGAAGACATGTTCCTACCCCAGGAATGAATTATAACCACAATATTTTACACAAGCAAAATAGAACCATTAGGAAAGAAAAACCTGTGGCTGGGTGCAGTGGCTCATGCCTGCCACCCTGGCACTTTGAGAGGCTGAGGTAGGCAGATCACTTGAGGCCAGGAGTTTGAGAACAGCCTGGGTAACTGGTGAACCCCTGTCTCTACAAAAAATACAAAAGTTAGCCAGGTGTGCTGATGGACACCTGTAATCCCAGCTACTTGGGAGGCTGAGGCATGAGAATCTCTTGAACTTGGGAGTTAGAGGTTGTAGTGAGCTAAGGTCATGTGACTGCACTCCAGCCTTGGCAACGTAGCAAGACCCTGTTTCAGAAAAAAAAGAAAAGAAAAGAAAAAGAAAAAACCTGTCACCATGATTGTATATTGAATTATGTGGTCCTGTGTGGACTGGTACACCGGGCCCTTTAAGCTGTGGCATCTCCTAATCACTATGTGGGCTAGTCACCTACACAGTGGGCACTTTCAAAAACATCAATTGGAATATCAAAATGGGAAATGAAGGTGGAGTGTTAGAAGTCAGTTCTGGATTGTCTTGGTTAAGTAAAATCAGGTCTGGAGAAAGAAGAAACCAAGAATGATAATCAGAACAGTGTTGCCTAGTTTAGAAAATCCACATGTGTTAAAGCAGGGGTTCCCCAACCTCTGGGGCCATAGACAGGCACCAGTCTGCTGGAAAGCAAGGCACGCAACAGGAGGTGAGTGAAGGGCAGGCGAGCCAGCTTCGTCTGTATTTACAGTCACTCCCATCACTGGCATCACCACCTGAGCTCTGTCTCCTGTCAGACCAGCGGCGGCATTAGATTCTTTTTCTTTTTTGAGACGGAGTTTCACTCTTGTTACCCAGGCTGAAGTGCAATGGCGCGATCTCGGCTCACCGCAACCTCCACTTCCTGGGTTCAGGCAATTCTCCTGCCTCAGCCTTCTGAGTAGCTGGGATTACAGGCACGCACCACCGTGCCCAGCCTATTTTTTGTATTTTTAGTAGAGACGGGGTTTCACCATGTTGACCAGGATGGTCTCGATCTCTTGACCTCGTGATCCACCTGTCTCGGCCTCCCAAAGTGTTGGGATTATAGGCATGAGCCACCACTCCCAGCCCTGGCATTAGATTCTCATAGAGATGAGAAGCCTATCATGAACTGCGCGTGCGATGGATCTGAGCTGCACGCACCTTATGAGAATCTAAGGCCTGATGGTCTGTCACTGTCTCCCATCAGCCCCAGATGGGACTTTCTACTCACAGGAAAGCAAGCTCAGGGCTCCCACCAATGCTACATGATGTTGAGTTGTAGAATTATTTCATTACGTATTACAATGCAATGAGAATAGAAATAAAGTGCACGATCAGTGTCATGTGCTTGAATCATCCTGGAACCATCTCCCACCACCGTTGTCTTCCAGGAAACTGGTCCCTATTGCCAAAAATCTTGGGGACCACCAGGTAAAGAAGAACTGAAATTAATTGTCAAGCTCTATAAGGCAATTAATTACATTATGTTGACTTTCAAACCTCTCTGCTTATGAGTTTCTGTAATGTCATTGCTGACATTTGCGTGTGTTGAGGATATACAATTAAGAGAATTTCATGGAGGATTTTAAGAACCTTGAGGAAATAATTTTAGACAGTGTCACTTCAACCACTTGAAATCAACCACAGAACAGTCTTTCTCACAAATGTTTTTCTTTTGAGCATAAGTGTGAAAGTCTTAAGAGTCACTCAAAAAAAAACAAAAAACAAAAACTGGACGCAGGTTTCCAACCATCAAGCATTTCCAGGCCCATCCTAAAGTTCCTACTGTATTATTTTGTAAACTCAATCTGCCTTTGCAGAAAGAAGCATTGGCCAGTCACACTGGCTAGTGCCTGTAATCCCAGCACTTTGGGAAGTCGAGGTGGGCAGATCACTTGAGGCCAGGAGTTTGAGACCAGCCTGGCCAACTTGTGAAACCCTATCTCTAGTAAAAATAAGAAAATTAGCTGGGTGTGGTGGTAGGTGCCTGTAATCCTAGCTACTCAAGAGGCTGAAGTGGGGCCACTGCTTGAACTGGGAAGGTGGAGGCTGCAGTGAGCCAACAGCACACCACTGCACTGCAGCCTTGGTGACAGAGCAAAACTCCACTCAAAATAAAAGAAGAAAAAGAAAAAAAGAAGCATTGTGGCAGGTTCTCCATGGTTGCTTCACCAGGTGCTGTCCAATGTGGATGAGCTGTTTGACCGGGGAGAGTTTTCTGCAGCCCCAGACCCAGGATGGCCGGATTGCTTCAATAGCGGGGTGTTTGTCTTCCAGCCTTCACTCCACACGCATAAACTCCTGCTGCAGCACGCTGTGGAACACGGCAGCTTTGACAGTAAGCCAGGGCAGCCTGGACATTTGAGGAGGAGGACGGGACTGCTGCCTGTAGCCACATTGCAGCCTCCCCGCATTTCCCCTTATCTGGGAATGGCTGCCTGAAGATCGAGGTGGGAATTGAAGAATACGGCCAGTCAGGGGTATAGGAAGACGTCAGGAAGTGCACAAGGAAACATGCAGTTGAGAGAACCATTGGAAATATCCTTGCTAAGTACAAAGAACAGCTCGACAATCCAGGCATATAAATCAGGGGAGCAAGTCCTTCTGTAAAGGTCTGGATGGTAGCTATTTTCAGAGTTGCCCACCTTATGGTCTCTGTTGCACACACTCAGCTCTGCAGGTGTTGCCCGACGTCAGCCATTGAGCAGACAACCACGCCTCACTTAACAACGGGAATGCGGTCTGAGAAATGAGTTGTTAGGAGATTGTGTCATTGTGTGAACATCCCGCCACTAGATGATGCAGCCTCCCGGATACCCAGGCCGGATGGTAGAGCCTGCGGCTCCTAGGCTACACACCCATAGAGCATGTGACTGCACGGAATGCTGCAGGCAGCTGTCACATAGTGGGAAGTATCTGTGGTTCTCAACATATCCAAGCCTCACAAAGCTCTAGTGAAAATGCAGGATAAACTCCTACGGGCCCACTGTCATATGTATGGCCAGCATTTTTTTGTGTGACTGTACTTGGTGTTGAACTTGGGTTGGGCCTGGTGGCTGATGCCTATAATCCCAGCACTTTGGGAGGCCAGGGCAGACAGATTGCTTGAGGCCAGGAGTTCAAGACAAGCCTAGGCAACACGGCAAGACCCCATCTCTACAAAAATTACAAGAATAAGCTGATGTGATGATGGCACCTGTTTTCTGTACTCCCTGGGAGGCTGAGTTGTTAGCAGCACCTGAGCTGAGGACTTCAAAGCTGCAGTGAGCTATGATTGCACTACTGTACTCCAGGCTGGGTGACAGAGTGAGACCCTGTCTCAAAGAAAAGAAAAGAGCACGGCTGTGTTCCAATAAAACTTTATTTACAAAAACATGCAGAGAGTGTAGTTGGCTGACCCCTGGTAGAATATAGGGGAGAATTAAAATGAGGTAACCCGAAGCCACGTATTTGTTCAAATAGGCATCAGTAGAGAGGACACATGCTAGAATTTTCATAAAGTAAAAGAACATACTGGCCAGGTGCAGTGCCTGTAACCCCAGCACTTTGGGAGGCCGAGGTGGGCAGATCACCTCAGGTCGAGAGTTTGAGACCAGCCTGACCAACACAGAGAAACCCCACCTCTACTAAAAATAGAAAATTAGCTGGGTGTGGTGGCACATGCCTGTAATTTCAGCTACTCAGAAGCCTGAGGCAGGAGAATTGCTTGAACCTGGGACGTGGAGGTAGCAGTGAGCCGAGATAGTGCCATCACACTCCAGCCTGGCAACAAGAGTGAAAACGCTGTCTCAAAAAAAAAAAAAAAAAAAGAAAGAAAATACTGGACCATTGAAGAATTGCCTCTAGGGTAATGGCCAAGAGTTAATAAAATGGGCAAAAAGGGTGGGAAAAGCATTGTCACTACCAGGGAGCATTCGTGAGGGGATGAGTGGAGTGCTTTGGACTCCATATGCAATTTTCTTACTCATCTTGGGGCTCTAGTGGAGACTTGCAGGAAATAGGCATGTATTTTTATCAGTGGCTTGGGTTGTCAGCCCTTTCTGAGAATAGACAGAATGTGTTAGCTGGCAGACAGAAGAAATGGAATTGGTAACCCTGAGGGCATGTGTTTACGTTGAGAGCATCAGGCACATCTCGTGTTCTTAGAGTGGACCGGACCACACTCTCCTCATCTGCTTTTCTGTTTGCTCATCTGTAGGGGCAGACCAAGGCTTGCTGAATAGTTTCTTCAGGAACTGGTCGACAGCAGACATCCGAAAGCACCTGCCGTTCATCTATAACTTGAGTAGTAACACGATGTACACTTACAGCCCTGCCTTCAAGCAGTGAGTTCTCCGCCCTGGCCAATCCTGCCAGCTCTGCCTCTCCTGAGCCACCTTCCCTCTTGGAAGATATACCAGCTGTTGGCATATTTTAAAACTCTATCTATCTATCTATCTATCTATCTATCTATCTATCTATCTATCTATCTATCTATCATCTATCTATCTATCTACCTACCTACCTACCTGTCTGTCTGTCTATCTATCTATGTCTGCTGTCTGTCTGTCTATCTATCTACCTGCCTATCAGTCAGTCTGTCTGTCTGTTTATGTATGTGTGTGTGTATGTTTGTATGTATGTATGTATGTATGTATGCATGTATCTATCTGTGTGTCTATCTGTCTGTCTGCCTTTGTATGTGTGTATGTATGTATCTGTCTGTCTGTGTATGTATGTATATATGTATGTATCTGTCTGTCTGTGTATGCACGTATGTATCTATCTGTCTGTGTATCTGTCTATGTATGTATGTATGTGTCTATGTATGTATTTATGTATGTATGTATCTGTCTGTCCGTCTGTCTATGTATGTATGTATCTGTCTGTCTGTCTCTCTGTGTATGTATGTATGTATATATCTGTCTGTCTATGTATGTATGTATGTATCTGTCAGTGTATGTATGTATGTATCTGTTTATGTGTGTATTTATCCATGCATATCTATCTAGATCTGGATATCTATGTGTATACATAGAGCTATATATCTATCTCTACATATGTATCTATATCTAGATCTAGATATCTCTCTATATACATTCATCTATCTAACGTGTGTATATATATATATATATATGCAGATATTTGTCTACACAGACCTAGATATCTGTCTATCTATCTATATCTATCTATCATATCTATTATCTGTATCTATCAGACAGATCTGGATATTTATATATACACATCTGTCTGTCTAGATCCACATCTCTTCATAGATATCTGTATCTCTCTATCTGTCTGCCTATCTCTATCTAGCTATATCTGTATATCTGTCTATCTATCTAGATCTGGACATCTGTCTACATATTAATACATGCATCTATGTCCATCTTTATGTATGTATATACGCACACGTACACACACGCATCTCATCCCCTGCTTGCTTATTGCTGTGAATGATAGGTAGTTAAGGTGCTATGACAATGATTCCCAAACTGTGACCCAAGGAACCCTGAAGAGTTCCCTGTAACTCTTTCAAGTGTCTTCAAAGTCACAGCTACTTTTCTGAAAGAATTCTAAGATGTGATTTTTTTCCCCTTTTTTCTGCCGTTTTCTCACGCGTCTATGCTGGCTTTTACAGAGACTGCATGGCACGTGATAAGGTAACACAGACAGCTAGGATGAACCAGCTGTCACCTCTTGGGAAAATGGATTCCACTGTTTTCACAATGGTTTTCTTTTTAATATAGAAGGTATTTTTAATGAAAAAAAATGAAACTTATGTTACTGCATAATGGTTTGATTTTTTTTTTTTTTAGAGTCTCACTCTGTCACCAGGCTGGAGTTCAGTGATGCAATCTCAGCTCACTACAACCTCCACTTCCTGGATTTAAGCGATTCTCCTGCTTCAGCCTCCCAAGTAGCTAGGACCACAGGCACACAACACCATGTCCAGCTAATTTTTGCATTTTTAGTAGAGACAGAATTTCAGCATGTTGAGCAGGCTGGTCTCGATCTCTTTACCTCGTGATCCACCTGCCTTGGCCTCCCAAAGTGCTGGATTACAGACGTGAGCCACCAAACCCAGCCTGGTTTAATTTTTTTTAAGGGATTGATAAATATGTTTTCTAATTTCTCAGTTTTATCTCAATTATTGTAAATAGCCGGGCGCGGTGGCTCACGCCTGTCATCCCAGCACTTTGGGGGGCCAAGGCGGGTGGATCACGAGGTCAAGAGATCAAGATTATCCTGGTCAACATGGTGAAACCCCGTCTCTACTAAAAATACAAAAATTAGCTGGGCATGGTGGTGGGTGCCTGTAGTCTCCGCTACTCGGGAGGCTGAGGCAGGAGAATTGCCTGAACCCAGGAGGTGTAGGTTGCAGTGAGCCAAGGTTGCGCCATTGCACTCCAGCCTGGGTAACAAGAGTGAAACTCCGTCTCAAAAAAAAAAAAAAAAAATTATTGTAAATATGGAGAGAGAGAATCCACAGGGACATGGCTGGGCACAGTGGCTCACGCCTGTCATTCCAGCCCTTCGGGAGGGAGTGGGTGAATCACTTGAGCTCAGGAGTCTGAGACCAGCCTGCACAACAAGGCAAATTTCTGTCTCTACCCAAAATAAAAATCAAAAAATTAACTGAATGTGGTGTCACATGCCGCTAGTCTCAGCTACTCAGGAGGCTCACTTGAGCCTGGTAGCTGGGGTTGCAGTGAGCGGAGATCATGCCACTGCACTCCAGCCTGGGTGACAGAGCAAGCCTCAGCTCAGGAGAAAAGAAAAGAAAGAATCCACACGGGCAAAGCTCTTGGGTCCCTATGAGGGTCAAGGGTGAAGGGACCAGAAGCTGTGAAATTCACTGCTCCAGAAGATAGGGCTATAAATGAAAACAGAGAATCTGAGAATCAGCTTGGGAATGAGTAATTCTGGAGTTTGTATTCTCTACAGAGGACATAGTGTCTCCAAGAAAGAAATCGATCAGTGAAAAACTTATTTTTTAATGTATAATCACAGTTGTAATGTACAGAACATAGGTACGTCATTCTGTGACTTTTGTATTCATATTTCACAAGGAGGTGATAAAAAAAATGTTTAAAAGACTCCTGGAGGATGGTGGTGATGAGGAGCAACGAAAAAGCTGGCGAGGGGAAAATTTAGAATCCTGCCAGAGAGAAAAAACCCAGCTGCTTTGCTGCTTGCTATCCAAGTATATCTGTAACAGCTATTATTTTTTTTGTCCCTGTCATTTTAAGGATATGATTTGGGCTGCCATACTTCACGTTTTTAAACAACTGATTTATTCTTCCCGTTTTGGGAAAAAAAATCTCAAAGGATTATTATTATGTTTATTGACATATAGAAAATAAAATAACTGCAAAAACCGTGATTTAAAAATATATCTTTATGTAAAGTAACTGCAAATGAAACTACTACTACTATGCCGCTAGCTGGAGGAGTAGTATTGATTATATGCTGACGCTAGCTTGAGTCCGGTATGGTGTTACTGCTCATATGTTGGTCGCTGCATTGACAGTACTGGTATGTTACTATTGATTACACATTGATTGCCATAGTGATAGTGGTTTGTTATTGATCACATAGTGATGACTGAATTAATAGCAGTAGTACGTTACTATGGATTATATATTGATTACTATGCCAATAGTAGTGTATTATTATTGACTCTACATTGATTACTGCACTGATAGTAGTTGATTATTATTGATTACATATTGATTACTATATTGCTATAGTAGTATATTGTTATTGATTATATGTTGATTACATTGGTAGTAGTAGTCTATTATGGATCATATGCTGATGACTGCATTGGAAGTAGTAGTGTACTGTTATTGATTATATATTGATTACTATGCTGCTAATAGTAGTATAATCAATCACAACAATCAGTAATGGAAATCCACTGGGACAAGTCCTTTGGAGGCTGTCTTTGAGGAGCTCCATGGTAGTTGGGTGCTTTCTGGGTGTCTTTTATCGCTTCTGAGTGGAAGTCAGAATCTCTTCTATTCCCTTCTCAGATTCGGTTCCAGTGCAAAGGTCGTCCACTTTTTGGGGTCCACAAAGCCTTGGAACTACAAGTACAATCCACAGAGCGGCTCGGTGTTGGAGCAGGGCTCGGCGCCCAGCAGCCAGCACCAGGTGGCGTTCCTTAATCTCTGGTGGAGTATCTACCAGAAACAACGTCTTGCCCCTTTATCAAAGCATCCAAGGAAGGGAAGCACTCGCAGCTCCTGGACACACAGTAAGTGGGGATTCCCTTAAACCCACAGCTGAGGGCGAGGAGAACATCCTCATCACCAAGGCCTGGTGTGGTCTTTTTGAAATGCCCATTTCTGTCTAAACATTATATTTATGGAAAAGACTACTGAGAAGCAAGCACCTTTTTAAAAAATTTTTATTTTTTGCCTCAAAATGGGGAATTCCTAATGAGTAGAGATACTGTTTTAATTTATAGGCCTGGTGCATACATAGGTTGCTGAAATTAGGCATCCTCATTAGAGTAAGAAACACTCATGGGCAAGTTATTCACAATGACTGATTATGACGTCATTTGGAACCATCATTTGAGATAGCCATTGGAGGAAGTGTCTGAAGCGGATTTTGTAAATTTTTGATTGACACCAAGTTGATTTAAGAAAATATAACAATAGCCCCTAGGTGTGCTAGATAGGGAAGTACCTGCAGTGTGTTGAATATGGAATGCACCTGCCTTGCATAAAACCTTTTGCAGTTAGGAGCTTATTTTTTAAAGGAGTGTTTGCACTAGAGTACTAGTGCTCTAGAGCACCAGAGTGTTTTTTTTTTTTTTTAACTAAAGAAAACTAGAGTGTTTGTTTGACAGAGCCTTGCTCTGTCGCCCAGGCCGGAGTGCAGTGACACGATCTCGGCTCACTGCAAGCTTTGTCTCCCAGGTTTCAAGCAGTTCTCCTGCCCTCAGCCTCCCGAGTAGCTGGGATTACAGGGTGAATGCCACCATGCCCTGCTAATTTTTGTACTTTTAGTGGAGATGAGGTTTTGCCACATTGGCCAGGCTGTTCTTGAAGCCCTGACCTCAAGTGATCCGCCCACCTCAGCCTCCCAGAGTGCTGGGATTGCAGACATGCACCACCGCGCCTGGCCTTTTTTATTTTACTGGAGTATTTGCTAATACCACAGAGTCTGCTATCAGCACATGCATTGCTTGGGAGGTTGAAGAGAATTCCTATTGTAATTTTTAGTATGGTTTTTGATTTGGGTGAAGCCAGGGGCTACTTTTTAAGGACTGCTGAAAATACGTCTCGTCATCTGACCACTAGCAAGTAGGTATCTGTGTCACTTCGCCAACATTGACTTGCCACATATTTCCTGCTGGCATTTTGCTAAGTACTGGATTGCATAAGAGGGAATTTTTAGGCTTAGTGCCAAATGGTTCTGAGAAATGAGACATGAAGGACAATTATTTAATGATCGCAGATGGGAGCAGGGCCCCCCTCCTGCAGGACCGCGGGTGAATTGACAAGACGTCGGAAAAGCTCACTGCATGTGTCTGTTTTTGGCAGCTTTGCCTCAGTGATGTCGGGGCGCCGTGTGCAGATTCAGTGTCTGGTGCTGGAGAGCCGTGTGCAAATTCAGCACCTAGTCCCAGCATGCCGTGTGCAAATTCAACACCTGGATCTAACCAGCCTGCTCAGGGCCTTCCCGAGCCAACCCATCTCATAGTGGATGAGACGCTATCCCTGCCTGAAGGACGCAGTTCAGAAGCTGTAAGTACCTGCATTCCACACAGGTGTGATGGAGAGTCAGACGCTGGCTCTCAGTGAGAGAGCAGAGAGAACTGGCTTCCCTGGCTCTCTGGGGAGGGCTGATGGAGGGAAGGGCTGGTCTTTAGTTTGCTTCGGCATTCAAAGCTCCTGCATTTATCTGCACTGTGGCACACCGAATCAAGCTCACCTCCAGAAAGATACCTAAGTCCCAATCTCCAGGACCTGTGAAAGTGACCTTGTGTGGCGAAAGGGAGTCTGCAGTTGTGATTAAATGAGGGACCTCGACATGGGGTGGTATGATCTCGGATTATGGGGATGGGCTCTTACTCATCACGAGCCTCCCCTAAAAGAAGAAGGTGGAAGTGTCAAGATCGGAGAAGAAGAAGTGAGGCTGGAAGCAGAGGACAGAGAGGGAGGATTGGGAGAGGCTGTGTGGCTGGCTTTGAAGATAGAAGGAGGCCACGAGCCAGGGAATATGGTGGCCTCCAGAAGCCTGAGAAGGCAGGAAGCGGATTCTCCTCCAGGTCCCCAAGAATGAACCGACTCTGCCAACACCTTGATTTTAGCCCCCTGGACTTCTGGTGCCAAGAACTATCGGTCAGTCTGCCTTGGCGGTAAACCACAGTGTGTGGCCGTTTCTTACATAGCAGCCTCAAGACACTGGTGCCGCGTGGAGACACATGCTCACTCTCAAGCTGTTTATGGAGTCTGGGGGCACAGAGCTCTTTGTGATTCAGTGCTCCTTCGACCCAGCTACTGGGCCGTGCGTCGTGAGGGCTTTCAGCCCAAGCCCCGACTTGAACAGGGGTTCAGGCGAAGATGAATTCCTGCCAGGGCCCAATGTTCAAATTAATGTCGACCTGCCCAGTGGTGTCTATTGAGACTGAGTCTGCAGAGCTTTGTCTCCACAGAAGAAAAAGGAAAACGCATCTTATTTGCAAAACAAATAATGGAGGCTGTCATTTCTCCAGTGCCACTTTCTAGGCGAATACTTTGGAATTATATCTTGTGTTTAAAGATTTCCTGGGGCCACGCATGGTGGCTCACACCTGGAATCTTAACACTTCGGAAGGCTGAGACAGGAGGATCGCTTGAGCCCCGGGAGGCTGAGGCTGTAGTGAGCTGTGATCTTACCACTGCACTCCAGCCTGGGTGGCAGAGCTAGACACTGTCTCAAAGAAAAAAAAAGATTTCTTGTTTTAAATCTTTACCACTCATCCTAACAAGGTTCTCAACAGAATTATTTTGAGATCTTACTTAGAGAAGGATCTGGGGACGGGGCTGAAGGGAAGTCATTCTTCTCTGTATATTTCAGATAGAAATGTATATATATTTCTTTTCATGGTGGGCACTTCAGGAGAGCTGTTTCTTGTTGCTTGGAAACAAGTGGCCTTTGCGTTATGCATTCGTTGCTATGGAAGACTCCACGGGCTTCCCTGCGCTGTGCTGTGAATTATGCCCTGGCAACCTTATGCATTAACAATGTCGGAGTGCTGAGTTCACATTGACCCAAACACACTGAAAAGATCTTTAGGTTCAGGTGGTGACGACTGGGGAGGTGTAAAATTTGTTTTTTCTGGTTTTTCGTTCCTCGGGTGCGTCTGAGCATCCCATAGCCTGGGTCTGGCCCCAGGACGTGCCTCATGTGAGTCCAGGCAAGGGCATTTGCTTGTTGCTGCTGGAATGTGAAGAATCCCGTCGGTTGAGCTCTTACGTGATGTGCAAAACGGGCAGTGGAGCTGAGCCATGCTCAGATCAGGATGTCTAAGGAAAGCTCGCATTTACATGAAACGTTTAGTAGGTAACAAAGTTTGAACCCTAAACCAAAGAGTTTGCTGCACCATTCAAGGCTCATGCTTCTATTTACATTACTGCACCTTAATGCAAATAAAGGGGGCCTCTGATCCACTGTTGACATGTACTGAAAATAACTGAATGCTCAAACTCCTCGCCTAAAAGAGAAATATGATTGAATGCTTCATGAAAACAAATTTAGGAAGTGTCTTCTGCCATGGTTAAGGACACATTGTGACGCAGCCTCAGGAGGTCCTGATGACAGGTGCCCAGGGTGGTCACGGCACAGCTTGGTCTTACGCATTCTAGAGAGACATGACGTAGCAGTATGTGTAACAAGTACATTGGTTCAGTCCGGAGAGGTGGGACAACTCGAAGTGGGGAGGGGGCTTCCAGCTCATAAGCAGATAGAGACAAATGGTTGTATTTGTTTTTTGAGTGTCTGATTCCCCTCTCCGAAGGAGGCAATCAGATACGCGTTTATCGCAGTGAGCAGACGGTGACTGAGAGAACGGGAGGCAGGTTTGCCCAAGCAGCTGCTTAGCTTCACGTTCCCCTCGACTTAGTGATAGTGCAGTTCCGAGATTTATTTTGTTTTCACAAGACTCTATTGAGTCCTCAGAAAACAGTATTCAAACCATCTTTCTTATTTCTGGTTATGTAATTTTAATCTTATTCTGTCCCTGAGTCTTGAACATCAGTGGTTTTTTCAAACTGCGGGCTGAGCTTTGTCTGAATAAGGATTATTTTAAAGGATTGTGTTTTTGCAGATGATCTTAAAAGCATTCTTTTTTTTTTTTTGAGATGGAGTCTCACTCCATTGCCTAGGTTGGAATGCAATCATGTGATCTCAGATCACTGCAACCTCCACCTCCCAAGTCCAAGCAATTCTCCTGCCGCAGCCTCCTGAGTAGGTGGACAGGCGTGAGCTACCACGCCTGGTTAATTTTTGCATTTTTAGTAGAGATGGGGTTTCTCCATGTTGGCCAGGCTGTTCTTGAACTCCTGACCTCAAGTGATCCTCCTGCCTCAGCCTCCCAAAGTGCTATGATTACAGGCGTGAGCCCACCGCGCCTGTCCATTCAAAGCATCTTAAAAGTCTGTTCTGAACCACGGTGGGCGCTGCCTCAGTTGTAATGCTAGCCATCCTCTCTCAGAAGCAAGTGTGTGTTCACCCTTCAGCCCCTCGAGGGGTTTACATGGATTGTCACAGCCCCTAAAAACAAGCTTCCCAGGGCAAACAGTGGTTCTCCAGAGACTCCTAAAGGGCAAACAGCCAGGAAGCTCCAGTCCCAGCTGCAGCTCAAGTTGTAGCCCTGCCAATCTCAGAAAAAAACAGACCCAGTTAGAGTGAGAGCACTTCGCACTTTGCTTTCTCCAAAACAGTGCCCGGCATGTCACTTCGTATTAATCTCCGTGGAATTGTTGCGGTGATCTTTTGTTGACATAAGTCACTTCTGCTTTTGCTTTGGATTCATAACTGTGCATGCGGCGGCAACTTAATAGACGTCTAGCTGCGTGTTGTCGGCCCCCGAGCCACATCTCAGTCAGAGCCAATCAGGCCAAACCAAGGAGAGGCTTTCCCGTGGAGTAACGGGGCTTCTGAAGAAAAAGCACGTGCAGAGCATCATGGTGGTAGAATTGAGGATCATCCTGACTTGATGCCCAAGGAGATGGACAAGGACACAAAAGCACATTCATTCAACCCAGTTAGGTGCTGTCTGTTGTCAAAAAGATAAAAAAAAATGCTGGTTAAGAGTGGACAGGGTCGGGCCTGGATGGGAGACTGCCTGGGAATACCGGGTGCTGTAGGCTTTAAAAAAATAAAATAAAATAAAATAAAAAAATTTAAAAAAGGCCGGGCGCGGTGGCTCACGCCTATAATCCCAGGGCTTTGGGAGGCCGAGGCGGGTGGATCACAAGGTCAAGAGATCGAGACCATCCTGGTCAACAAGGTGAAACCCATGTCTACTCAAATACAAAAAATTAGCTGGGCATGGTGACGCACGCCTGTAGTGTCAGCTGCTCAGAAGCCTGAGGCAGGAGAATTGCCTGAACCCAGGAAGCGGAGGTTGCGGTGAGCCGAGATCGCGCCATTGCACTCCAGCCTGGGTAACAACAGCGAAACTCCGTCTCCAAAAAAAAAAAAATAATAATAAAATAAAATAAAATAAAAAGATGTGGAGAAAGGGAAACTCTTAGCCACTGTTGATGGGGATTAAAAATAAGTACAGCCAGGATGGAGAACAGTATGAAGGTTCCTCAAAAAACTACAAATAGAACCACGATATGATCCGGCCATCACACTGCTGGACGTTTACCCACAGGAAAGTGAACCAGTATATTGAAGGGACATCCGTCCCTGTCCATGTTTCCTGCAGTTTGTTCACAACAGCCTGTATATGAATTCAACCCAAGTGTCCGTCAAAGGGTTGAGAAAAGGCCGTGCATAGATACACCATGGAATACTATTCCACCATGAAAAAGGAAAGGAAATTCACCATTTGCAGCAGCAGGCATGGAAATAGAGGACATTATGGCAGGTGAAATAAGCCAGGAACAGAAAGTGAAATATCACATGTTCTCACTCATCTGTGGAAGCTAAAAAAATTTAATCTCACAGAAGTAAAAAGCAAGACCAGGCCCAGTGGCTCACGCCTGTTATCCCTGCATTTTGGGAGGCTGAGGCAGAATGATTGCTTGACATCAGGAGTTGAGACTAGCCTGGGCAACATAGCCAACATACAAAAAATACAAAACTTAGCTGGGTGTGGTGGTGCTTGCTGGTGGTCCCAGCTACTCAGAAGCTTGAGGTGGGAGGATGCTTGAACCTGGGAGGTTGAGGCTGCAGTGAGCCAAGATCACACCACTGGGCTCCAGCCTGGGCAGCAGAATGAGACCCTGTCAAAAAAAAAAAAAAAAACAAAAACAGAAGTAAAAAGTAGAAGAGAGTGTCCTAGAGACTGGGAAAGGTGGGGGGAGATGAGAAGATAGGGAGACATTTGTTAAAGGACACAAAATTACAGCTGGACAAGAGGAATGTGTGGTCCTGTTCCATAGCCCTGGAGGATGGCTATAGCCAACAGTGTAACACAGTTTCATGGAGCTGGAAGGAGGATATTGTACGTTCCCAAAAGAAAGAAATAATACATAATTGACACGATGGATATGCAAATTACCCTGACCGGAACACTGAACCCCGTATG